TCTTTTTCCCTCCGACAACCTAAAACGATTCTTCACGCCGCAAATTCGCTTCCTGAAATTGATTTTTTTTCCCTCTTTTTCATCACCGGAGTTTTATTATACTCAATCGGCCATGGCCGCTACATCTAACTCCGGCGAAGATCCGACTCTCTCTTCTTACCACCGATCTCCTTTCCGTTTCGAACTACTCGACTCTCTACCTCCTGATCCGCTCTACTCTTCCACCACTCCTTCTTCCACAAATCGACCTTTCTCCGTCTCTGACCAGCTTCCGTTACGCCCCAATGCACAATCTCCTAATATCCCACCTCACTGGGACGACTCTTACACTCTAATTACCCAGAAAGTTGTGAGTTTCTCGCTTCTACTGTTTTCGCATGTTTGATTCTCTCACCAATTCAATTTGGGAGCTAGGTTTTCCACTTCTGATCCTAAATTTCGCGAGAATTGAATGAGCTCAGTGATTAAGGGAACTGTATCTAAATAGATTTAGGGGTTTAGATCTCTCTTCTTTCAATTTTGGGTATCTGTAACTTGGGCAACTTATTAAATGCAGCTATGTTTGATAACCTCTATTGGGTGATTGTGGAAGAGACATTGAACTGTGAATGGCATCTAGGAAACAAACATGATTCCTTCGTATGTTTTGTTAGCTTCTTATTAAAGTACATCAAGTACTGATGTATAGTCAAATCTTTTGCAGCAGAAGAGTAGAAAGAATCATCGTATCCAGCTTGGATCCGTTCCTCATATGTCTGGAGAAACCAAAGAAATGCCTAAATTTATAGTGAAGCAAGAGTTTCCTCAAGATGTTAAACGTGTGGGGAACAAGTCAATGGTTACTAAACAGTCAAAGGCTGGATTTAGAAAAGGTATGGCAGGTGAATCTCCATCTAAACCTCAGATGCGATATGTGGTTTATAATTATAGCCTGTTGTATTCAGCATTGTCGTGGTTGGTTATTGTGCAGAAGCACACACTGGTGTCCCGAATGGTGGTAATAATTGCCGTTATGACAGTTCTCTAGGTAAATACTCCAAAGAGCAATCACGTCTACTTCTGTTACTTTCTACCACTACTTGTGTATCATTGTGTCTTTTGTTTCGCAGGGTTATTGACAAAGAAATTCGTCAGGTTAATCCAAGAAGCTGAGGATGGAACACTTGATCTTAACCGTTGTGCAGATGTTTTGGAGGTATGCAGCATGAATTTAAATATTGAGCTAAAAATGTTTAAGTCTCAACTCGAGGAACATCTAATTAACAATGCACTTATTTGTAGACTAAAAGCTTACCTTTATAACCCTTGCCTTGAGTGTTTGATGCACAAATCATTGCTGCTAACTAAAGTCATTAGGTATCTTCATCACTTTGTTAGAATCTTCTCTTATGTGCCCACAATTTCTCTTAACAGGTGCAAAAAAGAAGGATATATGATATTACAAATGTACTTGAAGGAATTGGGTTGATAGAGAAAACTACAAAGAACCATATCCGCTGGAAGTAATTATATAAATCTTTTCTTACTTACTTGGATATGGTCCAATGTATTTAGCTGACGTATTTCTGACTTTGGGTTTCGGCTGTTGATGCAGGGGTGCTGAAAATCTTGGACAGATAGACCTGGGAGATCAAATCTCAAGGCTTAAGGTTCATAGACACAAGATTTTTCACATATTAGTTTGCTGTAGAACTTACTACACTGGAATAAACGACCACCCATTCAAATCCCATCAGTCAAGAATGAAGTCATTATTTCATTCTTTTCCATCTATAAAACCAGTTCTCTGTATTGCAAATGTCGGGGATCTGAGATGTTCCTGCTTTTTTTGGGCTGGCAGTCTGACATTATAGTTACTTATTTTCAAATCTCCGATTAGATAACCAGTTTTCTACCTATTTTCAGTCAGAGGTGGAAAGTTTGCAATCTGAGGAAAGCAGATTGGATGATCTTATAAGGTTAGTTGCTTATGTTATTATATCCACTTGGAAACTTATACATTCTTCCTTCCTCAAATGATTTAAGATGTCATCATGTTATATATCCTCAGGGAAAGACAAGAAGCTCTCAGATCCTTGGAGGAAGATGAAAATTGTCGAAGGTTTTCGCCAGTTTATTTGAGTCTCATCTTTGTTTTACAAGAGAACTTTGCTAATCTCAATGTTGGCAATACACAGGTACATGTATATGACCGAAGAAGATATAACGAGCCTCCCACACTTTCAGGTCCTCCTCAACTAATTTGTAATGATGATCTTAGGTTTTCTTCGAATATATAACATACTAACCTGGTAGTCCGTGGTACAGAACCAGACACTACTGGCAATTAAAGCTCCTACAGCTAGTTACATTGAAGTTCCAGATCCTGATGAGGTTAGTGAGGGTTTTTTCATGAGTGTAAAGTTGTACAAATGTGTCCACAAAGTGAAGCAGCTGTTTTTGTCATGATAGGTGATGAGTTTTCCGCAAAGACAATACAGGATGGTGATTAGGAGTAGAATGGGGCCGATTGATGTGTACCTTTTAAGGTACTTTTCACTCTTGTGTCTTGTGTCTGGTCTTCTCTAATATTTAGCGGTTGTGTTCGTATCTGAGAACAAACATGGTCGCAGCAAATACAAAGGAGACAGTGCGGAAACAAGTGACCGGTCGGGTCATGAGTCAGATCAAAATGCAGCATTTGGAGTAGACACTCCTTCCTTGAAAATAGTAACTTCAGATACTGATGTAAGTAATAGATCCTCATATAATGATTTTTGGTTTAGTCCGGTCATATTCGTATGTGGTTAAGTTGAGTTTTGTTGTGCATGTATTGCAGTTAAAAGCAGATTACTGGTTCGAGTCAGATGCAGAGGTGAGCCTCACAGATTTATGGAGCAACTTAAGTTATTGAAACCCCAAATTTGTGGGTGAGAGGATGAATAAGCGAAGGTGTCTTAAACAACTCTACATGTTTAGTTTTACTACGCCTTTGAGAGCCTGAAATCCTCCTAAATAGTTGTTCTTTTTCTCTCGTGTTTTATAATAAAAGATGCAACATTCTAATGTCAAGCGATTCAAATATATGTGATTCATGAAACTTGTAGCTTCAATCAGAGTGTAAACATCTTTCTTTCTACCTGCCATGTTCTTTGTTTTCCATCTCATTAAGCTTCCCGGGCTAAGGTTAATTCTACTAGAATCATGCTAGACAACGCAGAGAACATTTGTGATTTCATAGGATTGCAAATTTAAAAATTAGTTATCTTCCTCTTAGTGTTTAATTTCCCTAGTTGGGAACACGGTCGCGTGGACGGGGAGGCGTACATGGACGACTTATCGAAAGGAATGTATGACGCCGGAGATCATATCTTGGTCGATCCTTGAGTTGGGTGGTTTCTTGGATCACAAGAAACACTCGGATCCTGCCAAGGACTACCTTCGTTGAATATCTCATGAATCATTCCCTTTTTTGTTCTCTTAGTTGAATAACAAAACATTAACATAAAATGCACACGTCGTTGGATAAGAACGAAGTAACTAAGTAATGTAAAAAAACTTGCACACCAAAGTATTGTCGAGTATTTTGATCACATATCATGTACACAACATCCTCATAATCAGATACATAGCTTCTTCCCTCTTCTATTTCCAATGGCTAATATCCTGTTTTTGAGGAGAAGAACCTGCTTATTCCTCTAGAATGTTTCTCCGGGGTCGGATTGCCCGATGAACCTGACCTTGAAAGCCTTGAACCCACTGGTGATGGTGATCTCAGCAAATCGCTAGTCTCTGGAGATCCCATAAATCCAGGGACCTCGTTAACCGCTGAATCTCTTTCATCTACCGCAATGTTCTTGGGGACTGATGTAGTTGTGGTACTTAGCTCCTCCTCACAACAGGACGTGCTCTGTCTTTGTGGTAACCTCATTTGCTCAGGTTGTGGCTGTAATGACTTTAACTGCTTTCCCAACACAAACATGGTTTCTTGACACTCTGCTAACTTCTCTGCTGCTGCTGCTAATTCTTTCTCCTGAACATATTTTCATGTTAGGTTCCTTTTTTGTTCCGCAAAGCATCAAAATCGTAAGGATTCAGGAATCAGTGTATGCATAGATGAACAATGTGCATTGAATAAGAGGACATATGAGCAATGAGTTTTTTTTCAAGAACCAAGAGCTACAAATTGAAATGCAGAAAAGAAGCCTACTTTGCAAAATTGAAATATTACAAGGAAATCATGATTGGCAATGAATAAGAGTCTGAGAAACATTACCTGTTTGGTCTTGATATCACCTTCTTCGTCATCCTCAGCAACCAAAGAAGTGTTTCTGGGAAAAAGTGAAATATATGTGTCAAAAGTAGGTTAACACTAAACTGGATCATTTGAAGTGTGGGAAATGGGAATATCCAGGCTCTTTCACATTCTGGTAAAGCTGCTACTACTTACCTTTGAATATGTTCTTCAAGTTCATGGCACTTTGCAATGGCTTCTTGGTGGTTCCGTATTTCATTTTCAAGCTCATTCTCCAAACTCTGTACCTTTTCCCTAAGCTGGTTCATATCAATCTCTAAATCAGCTGCACGTGTTTCAAGTGATCTGTATGACTCAGTCATACACCTGAGTTGCGTATCTGCAAAGTTGTTTGACCTCTGAGCTGAATCAAACTGTGATCTAATGTCAGCTAACTGCTGTTCCGTTTCTTGTAACTGAATTTTCAGCCCCTCAATATCCATTGCCATCTTTTCCTTTTCTGACTTCAGCTCTTCTATTTCCTGTATTTTGGAGGTGGACTCATACTCTGAAACTCTGTTTTCATCACATGGAATCCCTGGCTCATTGTGGACACATCCATTTTGATATATTTCTTTAGATGAATCTTTATCTACGACCTTGCTCTCAGGTAATGCAACCTTGTCTATGCAATCTGGACTCAGAGCTTCAACGTCGGAGCAAGTGAGACCCTTAATATTTACCTTCAGCTCCATGGCCTCTTTGAAGACATTAGCAAGATTCAACACAAAATCATCCAAATTTTTATCACCACTTAAAACATTGCTGAACGTGATGGAGAAGCCCTCGATCAGTACAGCAAATTCATTTCCCTCTACAGAGGTGTCCTGACCTTCCCTTACCTCTTCTCCTAGCAACAAAACAAAGTCATGAATCCTAGAAACAGCATTTGTCAAATCTTTCTGGACGCTCTGCAGTTTTTCTTTTGCCAAATGACAATCCTCCAACGGGTTTTGTTTTGAACATGAATCAGCCCCTTCTTCAGGATGAACCTGCACATTAGAAGGTTTGTCTTGGTCCATACAACCATTCACATCTTCCAAAATGCATTTTATATCACTCACGATCTTTCTTAGGTCAGTACCAGCAGATACAGATTCAAGAACCTTGGATAATCTAGATCTGAGTTCCATCACGGCCGGACTACCTTTATCACCCTCCTCTAATTCGGTATAAGCTTCAGGATTCACCAGTTCTGACTTTTGATCACTTGAATCTTTGGAATCCATACTACCGTTTCTGTTAGGTTGATTCGGCACACAAGCTAACTTCTCCATTTCAAGAAAATCATCCATTAGATCCACATGACTGTTAATACTTTCAGTCTTCTCCAGTGGTGCTGTTCCCTCTTTCTTGGTCTGTTGTGATGGGGTTGTTGACAACGATCCACTGCAACTTCCAGAATCATCATTCCCATCTTCAGAAACAGAGATTGAACTTGATGGATTGCTCGTATTTAGATTTGGACATACTTCAAGTGAGGACTTCCGAGAATTATTTTGCTGCACTTGAGCTTCCAAGTTCTGGAGCTTACTAGTGCTCTGAGCACAAAGAATCCGTGACTCCAGCAGCTCGCTATTACGCTTTGCTAGTGCTTCTTTCAGCATTTTTGTCTCTTCTTCCATTGCAAGTAGCCGTTCGGTTAGAAATTCATTATCTTTCTGGAATTTCTGTGCACTATCGAGAGAAAAGTCAGACCCGGAAGATGAATAGTCCCTTGGCGACTTGCAGGGGCTAGAAGCCTTGACAGGAGATCTCTTTAGCCGGGCATCACCGTTATCCCTGCCTAAGTTCTCAACCTCAAGCTTCATTTGAGCAAGTGCAGCTGGGCCTGGCAGCTTTTTCCGGACAAGACTTCTTAGTCTCTGGCATTCTGCTTCCAGCTTAGCTATTTTCTTTACCCCTTCCATGTGTTGCTTGTTGGCAACTTCTGCAGATCTAATACACATGTTCTTTTCTTCGTTGCGTATCTCCAGCTCCTTAGAATTTACATGGAGTTCGTACTTGAGAGATTTTATGTCTCTTTCGCACATTTCTAGATTGCTCTTCAAGTGCTCGATTTCAGCATCAGCTCGTGATTTCTCCTCACTGATATTTACCAGCATGTTTGACCGCTCTTGCAAAGTTCTGGATAAGGCATCACTATCTGCTGCAGATCTTAGTAGCTTCTGTTCATAGTCAGAGATCCTCCTTTCAAAGTCCATTGTAATTTTTTCAATTTGCTTGGTCTTGCTTAAAGCAACATCATGCAGTTTCACTTCATGGTCTTTCTTCAAGTTCCGTATCTGTCGCATACACTCTTTCAACGCACCGTCTAAATGCGCAGCACGATCTTCAACAGTGAGTTTTGAGAGAGTAACAGATTCCAGTGTATTTTTCAATGTCAAAGCTTCAGCGTCAGCTTTTTCCCAACCTGCACGAAAAGACTTATAAAACTTCCCGTCTATTTGCAGCATTATATATTCATTGTTAGTAAGAAAAAAAACGTCTGTATTACCTGCGACAGCATCTTCAGCAACCTTGGAATGCTGCTTCACTAAAGTCTCTTTGGTAATTATTTCTGCATTGGCAGCAGAAAGTTTCTCATTCAAGTCCTCATTATCCTCGTTCAATCTCTGCACCTGTTCAGCATAACTCTGAACCTGCTCATCATATTCCTCCACCTGTTCTTCATATTTTTTTACTTGCTCCTCATAAGTTTCGATTTGATCCTCGTAAGATTTGATCTGAACATCATATGTCTTTATTTGTTCCTCAAGACCTGTAAGATGTGTATACTGCTCCACAGAAATCTGGACATACTTAGGCTTCTTAACAGTTTCCTGTTTCCAACACAAAAGAATCCAAAATCAAAAGATACACAGAACCAAACAGTTAACAATAGAAAGTTTCATAACAAAAAAAAAACCTTCTCAGCTTGAGAATGAGAAGAAGCATCAGCTGCAGATTCAATCACAACGGTTGATTTCTCAGATGCCTTTTTCTTCCACGGCCAACTTCGTCGGTCCATAACAATCTACAGATTATTCACAAATGCGAGTCTAAAAAAACAAAAAAAAAACAACACTAACCATAGACAAAAGAAGAGAGAATCAGAGTACAGCTCATACTATCTAAAAACGTGAGCTCTGTTCTTCAAATTAAACTGATTTTGTTCATCAAGTCAAGCAAAGTAGGTTCCATAACTGAAGAGTGGACATGCAATTAAAGCAAACCAGATCTGAAAAACCCCTTAAGCATTAGACTCACTGCAAAAACCCCTAATAAATTCATGATTAAATCTGATATTGACTTGTAAATAAAAGATCTAAAAGAAGAAAAAAGACAAAGATAATACGAATAGAAAATTTTTCCTGAAAGAGGAAGAACGATAAGGTATTCTGGGAAAAAAAAAACTCAGAAGCTTCATCGTCTAAAAAGAAGCAGCTTACTAAAATAGGAAAAACAACAAAGGTAAAGTAAAGCTTGCCGACACTCAAAATTGAAGACA